AGGCAAAAAACATACTTTCAAGACAGGGAGCAAGGATTCTGACGAAGGCAGACATAGGCTAATAGGGTACCCCTAATTTGGGGGCACTGTTGACCTCATGGTCAATAGGGTTGATGGGAGGATGTGTCAACTCATCTCTCTTTCTAGAAGGTTCACCAATGCAGGAATACTGCCTGTCATATTCAGTACTATGTTCATGAGGGGCATTGTGGGAAAATGGGGGGTGAGGGACTATCTAAAGGGGTGCTTGAGTAAGAAGGAGTTAGCTACGTGAAGAATAGGGTTAAGGATAACCCAGTCAGAGGAAACTGCATGAACAAAGGGATATCTATGGGAATCAGAGGGAGGTTATTTTATTTTTTTTTTGAGTTGGAGTCTCACTCTGTCACCCAGACTGGAGTGCAGTGGCCGCTCCTGGCCACCGCAGCCTTGACCTGCTGGGCTCCGGTGATCCTTCCGCCTCAGCCGTCCAAGTAGCTGGAACTACAGGCGCGTGCTACCACGCCCGGCTCATTTTGATTTATTGTAGGGATGAGGACTCGCCAAGTTGCCCAGGTGGGTCTCGAACCCGTGGGCTCAGGCAATCCACTCACCTCAGCCTCCCAAAGGCACAGGATTACAGGCTGAGCCACCAAGCCCGGCTCAGAGGGAGGTTATTGAAATGAACGGCATATTAAGGATGGGGACTAGAGGTGAGATAAGAGGAGCTGGCGGGGTGAGACCATGGAAAACCTTGTTTGCCATGCTAAGAAGTATATTGCTTGTGTGGGTGAACACTCGGGCGTGGAAGGCCAGAGTGGGCAGCTCCCAACATGGGATGATTTTACAGGATCTAAAATCTCTACTCCAACCCTAAAAAAATGCCTGCCTTAACAGACTGCCAAAGTACCCATGATTTTTTTACTGTCAAGCCCAAAGTAACAACCATATTAGCCAAAAGCAACAATCACGTCTTACTCTAATGAGGATATCAGATTTGCCAGCCACATGGATGTTTACAACAACCTTGTGCAGTGGGTACTTTTATTATCCTGTCTTACAAACGAGAAGACCAAAGCAAGGCAAGTCGAGTGGCTTGCCAAAAGTCACACAGGAAACAGGTAGTAGAATCAGGATTCAAACCCTAGTAAGTCACTTTGGCTCAAACCATTCTCTAAATCACCATACTATCTCAAAAATCTGTCTTCCAGTTCACAATTTCTCTCTTCAGCTGAGTGTATCACTGTTTAACACATTTGATGAATTTTAATTTCCATATCTCTACCTTTGCGTTTTAGAATTTCTATTTAGTTCTTTTGAAATCTGTCTACTTTTTTTTTTTGTCATATTCTCCTGTACTTGTCCTGTGGGTTCTATTTCCTCTTCCACCATGAAAGATTTTAAACATAGACACTTCCTCAAGTTGGTCTACTGTCTTTCGTTTCTAAGGTGTGAACTTCTACATGTATTTTATTTGATGGTGCTTCCTAATGGTGGTTTTGCCCCCTCTCTTATGAGCACTGTGATTTTTAAAAGCAAACTCAACACCAGCAGGAGTTGGCCGCTGTTGTTGTTTTGTGGTTTTAATTTTGTCTTTGCCAGGTGAAGTGGGGGCCAAAGGAAGGCCTAAACCTTACCTGTACGATGACCACTTAGTTACCTAACCTTGAATTGTACCCACATCTTTAAAATTTTTTAAACAATGTCTTTGGTGGGAGACCCTCAAGCACTGAGATGTTGAGACATTTGTATGAGCTGGTTGTAGTTTTGCCAGTGTCTCCTAGTTGAATCAATTCCAGATCAAGTTTTTACATTATCTTCTTGGTCTGCGGCACATGCGATCCCTGAGAAGGGCGCCAACCCCATATCCATGTGTGGTACAGGCTGAAGTCGGGATTTCTCATGAGTGATCCCAATGGCCAAGGGTGATGAGTAGATTTCCATACCACATCCTCAGCAGAATTTTCCTTATTTCATACCTAGGCCAGTCATTCATTCTCACAGCCTGATGCAGGGAGTTTGTTTCCTGTAGTTTCAACTCACCCCCATGGAACACTGAAACTCCAGGCCCTAAAAAACAGACACACTTCTCAAATTTTCACAAGATCTTTGCCTTAAGTCCTCCTCACCGATTATTGCTCAGTCTTGAACTTGTTCTTTATTTTTGGAATCTGGAGATTTCAGTGTATAGTTCCACCAACATATCTCTGTGATGGAAAGGAGTGTCTCTTGAGGGTACAGTCTATCAAACTGACCAGAAGGCTTTGATTATGCATTTAGATGTCAGTTTTTCATGGAGGACAGGGGCCCTTGTCTGATTTGCCTTCATATCCTATTTCTTCCTATGGTTCCCTGACCAGAATAGGAATCAACAAGGTTCTGATTAATGAATGAATAATAAATGAATGAATAATAAATGAATTCATCAGCTTTCTTTTTCATTCTAAGTGGGAAGTAAAGACCATCTACCAGTTATCTTCTAGAAGAAGATGATATCAAGAATCCCTGGAAAGTTACCCATGCTGCCCAAACAAAGGAGTTTGGGGTCTGTCTTCATCTTGCCCAGTGGGTTCATACTATTGATACTCTTTTTTTGTCTTTTTGGGTTGAGGTCTCACTATTTCGCCCATGCTGGAGTTTAGTGACATACTCATGGCTCACCTTAGCCTTGACCTCCTGGACTCAGGCAATTCTTCCACCTCAGCCTCCTGAGTAGCTGGGACTACAGGTGTGTACCACTACACCCAACTAATTTTTTGAATTTTTGTGAAGAAGAGGTCTTGCTATGTTGCCCAGACTACTCTCTCTTTTTTGATGGGTAGCCACTTCTAATTACAGTGCTGGTCTGGTAGAAATTCCAAGTCTAGCAGGCTGGGTTCTCGACTGGTGACTCTGCTGCCTTTCTTAGCACATACTGATGCCTTTTACAGCCATCACTGATATCTGATCGGTAATAGGCACTGTGCAATGGTACAACTGTTCTGTTGGTGCCATAAAAAGCCAGTAGAGTAAGTTCATGTACTTGAAAGCACCTAGTGGCCGGGCTTGGTGGCTCAGCCTGTAATCCTAGCACTTTGGGAGGTCGAGATGAGTGGATTACCTGAGCCCAGGTTTGAAACCAGCCCAGGAAATTTGGTCAGACCTCGTCTCTACAATAAAAATTTATTAAAAATTAGCTGGGTGTGGTAGCTGCACCTGTAGTTCCGGCTACTTGGAAAGCTGAGGTGGAAGCATCGCTGGAGGCCAGCAGGTCGATGCTAGGGTGGCCATGAGTGTGCCACCGCACTCCCAACCTGGGCAACAGAGTGAGACTCCAACTCAAAAAAAAAAAAAAAAAACACCTAGCATAGTGATGGGCACAGAGTTGGCATTAAGTTAGCATTTAGTGTTCTTTATTTCTTCTCTTTTGTTTAAAAATTCTATAAATATTTCTTGAAAATCTATTGCCTGGTGTTGTATTGGTGTTGGAGATGGAGAGGAATAACACGCAGTCCCTATAATCCTTATTTAGAAAAAGAATGTCCGAATCAAATTTGACAATAGAAAAAAATGTTTCTAAATGTTCTTTGATGTAAGGTAAAAAGACACCTCTCTTCATCCTGCCATCCTACAGTACGTCATGAAATATATAACCAGCAAAATAACCCCGCCTATTGCTGCTTTATAAAAAATGCAACTTCCACTAAGCATATTAGCAGAGTAGAGACAGCTGATCATAAAAGATCATTTTTGACAATGACTTTTGAGCTCCTTTTACCACTGTACTCTCAGAACCTGGAACTGTGCCTGAACTAAAGTAGAAACTCAGTAGGTTTGTTGAGTGTATCTGCACATAAATGTATGGATGTGGCTTCTCGTTGTGACTTGTCATTCCACGCGTATTCCAATGAACAAGCCTCCATGTTAGATTTTGTGACAGAGACAGGAGGGAGGGAGGGAAGGAGGGGAGGGGGGAGGGAGGGAGAGAAGGAAGGAAGGAAGGAAGGAAGGAAGGAAGGAAGGAAGGAAGGAAGGAAGGAAGGAAGAAATCCTACCCACAAGGGATCCTCTAGGCTTAAAGGTGAGATAGACAGGTATCTAAATCATCATGATATAATACATAGAAGGCAAAGAGAAGAACAGAGAAAGGTCTGTGGGAGTTTCAGAGAGGGAAAGGTCACTTCCTGCTGGAGGGATTAGACAAGACTGTGGCTAGCATAAAATTTATGCTTGGTCTTAAAGGGGAAGTAACTTGTTGTCTTGCCGTTGGGAAGAATGGGTATTGGCAAAAAAAGGAAAGTCAACCCAGGTGAAAAGAGAGAGAGACAAAAGCAAAGAGGCAGAGAAGCACAGGACTTCTAAGAAAACACATGAATTTGGTTGGAGTTACGTAAAAGGGGAATAAAGGGAAAGAAGCCTGCAAAGGTAGGTTGAGGCGGATTGCAGGGGCTTTAACGTGACCTGATTTACCACTGTGGGACATAGGATCTCTATAAAGTAGCCAATGCTTAGCATATGGTGGGACTTAATTAATGCTAACTAACAACGTCCTAGCAGGAACCTGTTCCCCAGGTGCACACACGAAGCTGCCATCTGTATGCAGAGGCAATTACAAACATTCCAGATATTCTGTCCTGAACTCTGTAAACACATCAAATGCTCATTGTGAAAGGTCACCCAGCAAACAGCTCTGATCAATTCAGGCTTGAGCCTGATTCAAATCCCCTAAATAAGATCCACTAGAAGTAGTGTCAGGAAGGTCAAAACGACCCTATTTCACATCTTGAAGCATTTTTACCATGTGGAACATTTTATAGGAAGACGGGAAAGGACAGAGGGGGGAAAAAAACCCCTTTCTAGAAATAACAGAATTCCGAGTAATTCAACGTTAAATGACCACAAAGTAACCTGGGGGTTTATTTTGGCCCCCACCTCCTTCTAGTGATCTGAAAAACAGTTGATTTCAAAGAAGGTCACGCCTGGATTAAAAACGGAGCCTCACGCCTCCCTCCTCGCCTCCCCTGGGTGCCCCCACGGTGTACCTTTGTCGAGCTCACTTGAAATGTTCCATGATGAGGTAGGCACTAACTCAGCAGTGACTGACGACTCCGTTTCTGAAAAGAAAAAGAAGGGAAGGGAGAGAAACAAGGGCAATATTAAAAAAAAAAAAGTAACTTGTGGGCTGGTTAGAAGCATTTCCAAAGGGCCTGCCTTTTCCTGCGATCCCGGAGGTGATTAGACTGGAAGAGCGATGCAGGTTGCCAGGAAGAGGCGCCTGCATTTCAGAGGCCTTCCAAATGAACCCAGACTGATCTGAAGACGTTTGCCTTACAACACTAGGCTTGAAAATTAAAATGGAAAAACCTCGTCGTAACCACAACAACAAAAAAGAAGCCTGCCAAAATGACCACCGCGTATCAAATGTTAAACTTTTCTTTTTCTTGTTGGGAGACCAATCTTAGAGACTAATATAGTCAGTAGCCTTCCCGTGGAAAATAAGAGCCATGGTGCTTCTGCTGCTGAGTTCACCAGTTGTGTCTGGAATTCGTGGCATTTTTGCAGACAGAGAAATTCCTTTCTCTGTATCGGAACTTTAAGTCAAGACAAATGGAAAGCTAATTATTTGAATAAAGAGAGTCACTTGTGATTAGCTGGGCATGGTGGTGCCCCTCCGAGCCCAGGAGGTCGAGGCTGTGTGTGGTAGCCACGATGGTGCCACTGCACTCTAGACTGGGCGACAGAGTAAGACTCCGACTCATAGAAAATTTTTGTAACTCATAAAAAGAGTCATTTGTAGTAACTACACTTTAAAGATAATTTTTAAAGCTGCCATAAATTAAAGCAAACATGCAAATCAATCATCTAAAGGACATAATATACCATAAATTTAAGAACTCTTCGATAATGGGCTGCAATATACATAGGATGTTTTTTGCTGTTGTTTTTGAAAAGTTAAGCCATCCTACTGTAATGGAGGTCCACTAACTTCTCACCAGACTATGTCTACATACACACATATATGCACACACTCAGAATATCATTAGAGAACATCAGTGCTGGGTAGGATCTTGGAGGACCTCAGGCATACAAGCTGTCAATTCCCCTCAACCCCTCCACTGCTGTCCCCCCTTCAATCCAATGCAGGCATCATTAATCAATAATGGCTCTTTCTTTTTTTTTTTTTGAGTTGGAGTCTCACTCCGTCGCCCAGACTGGAGTGCAGTGGCCGCTCCCGGTCACTGCAGCCTCAACCTGCTGGGCTCTGGCGATCCTTCTGCCTCAGCCTTCCAAGTAGCCGGAATTACAGGCGCACGCTACCACACCCGGCTGACTTTTTGATTTATTGTAGAGATGAGGTCTCACCAAGTTGCCCTGGCGGATCTCGAACCCGCGGACTCAGACAATTCACTCACCTCAGCCTCCCAAGGCGCGGGATTACCAGCTAAGCCACCGAGCCCGGCTAATAATGGCTCTTTCTGTCTATCAAGCCTGGGATCTGCCGTACAGTCTTGTCAACACAGTGTTCCAGATAGCCACTAAATATGAGTCTGAGCCGGGCTTGGTGGCTCAGCCTGTAATCTC